TATATAAAGTAAATATATATATAAAGTAAATTTATATATTATATGTAAAGTATATATATTAAGTATGTTAAATAAATAAACACACACACACACATATTTAGATTCTCTAAAGGTTTTATAGTTCAGATAAGGATAAAGGATTTAACTAGGATATCTAACAAAACTGAGAAGTGATAATGAAAGGACCTCTTGATTTATGGAACAACTGTTATAATTAAAATGGACCTGACGTCATGAAAATAGAAGAGCAGAGATATTCAGGAAGGGGGGGTAGAGCTGAAACTGTCGTCAAGGTCTCCTGCCTCCTTGCCTCACGTAGGGCCCCTCCCTCTAGGCCTAATACTGTAGCGTCTGCTTTATTTTTCCTACTAGCTGAAAGGCACAGTCTATTTTCTTTTATTCCCCCCTGAAGTAAAAGCAGATTTGATGATTTAGACCATAAAGATATTGTTGGAATGTTGACCTAACTTGAGTTTTGTTGCTTGTCGTTTTTTGTTTGTTTGTTTGAAAATAACTGGAGGATTGCTTCTTAATGAATCGTTCAGTGTTTATGGTATATACCCATAAAGGTTAGATGAGATAGAAATATAATAAAAAGAAAGTGTCTGAGCCTTGTTCATAAGGCAGGAGAGTAACCAAATCTGGCATAAGTAGAATGCTTCTCTCATATATCTTTTTTATCTAAACTAATAAATGGAAAGAGTACACGTGTATATCTGTGTCTGACAGCTTTCAAACTGCATCTGGATTGCATTCTGAAAGAAGTTAAGCAGGTGTATTACAATCGCAAGATTATGTGTCAGAGTTTTAAATGGACTTTACAAAATAAGTGTTATTTTAGAATAGTTTTAGATTTACAGGAAAATGGCAAAGATAGTACAGTGGTCTCATTTACCCTACCCTCTTCTCCTGTTATTACATTATTAAGGTATATTTCTTACAATTATTGAACCAATTTCAATATAGTATTATTAACTAAAGTCCATACTTTATTCAGATTCCCTTTGTTTTTGCCTTATGTCTTTTTTAAAATTAATTTTTATTAGCATGTTCATTGAGGTAGAAGGCGTTTATATGATTACTTGAAGGCTAGACTAGTTCTGGAGTCCTTTACAGTTTCTGAGAGTTTGGTTAAATGTAGCAGGCTTCACTGCTACAAAGTTCTGACTTGTAACATTTATATTCTCCTATAACATATTTAAAAAAGTGGTTACATTACAATGTTGATAGTAATGGCTCTTGCATTGTTTCTAAATTTTAGCATCATCAGTTCCAGAAAGAATAATGTGATTACTTGTAACTGTTACTCAGTGTCCTATGCTAAATTGCTGATGAAAATACTCTCAAGTGGCAGCCTGTCCAATAGTGGTTGAGGGCCTGGGTCCCACATGGTTGATTGCACAGTTCAAATCCTGGTGGCCTGAGAAACATGCTGGGTGCATGCGTGTGTGCATGCATGCCAAGATTAAGTAAAGTAGGGAGAAAGGACTGTGGCATGATCACTCCCCATATGGGTGCTTTCTCACTTTCTCTCTTTGGTGAGTGCACACACCCTTTGTCAAATTAAAAAAAGATATATTCTAAAGTGAATTGCCTCCTTTGGGAATGATGTAGATCAACTATCCCACTTTAATATATTTATCCTCATGAAAGTAGTTTTTTAAGTCAGCACCTTCTGATGAATTGCTAATCATTATATTTCCCTGTAAAGACCTGAAAATCTTTCTTAAAAGTTACTAGTTATTTACTAAATTTGAATGCATGCATACCCTATGACTCAGCCATTCCACTCCTAGATTTATGCACCACAAATTGTGTCCATTTATTCACCAAAAGACATGGGCAGGATTGTTTGTCTACTCTGGAATTTTCCAGATGCCTATCAACAATAGAATGGATAAATAAATTGTGAAATAAACACACAATGAATATTAAACAGTGGTTGAAATGAACAAACTGTAGGTCCAGTGTAGTGGCACATGCTGTTAAGATTCTGTGCTGTACAAGTAGGAGGCCCATGTTCAATTGTTCAATTGCTAGTCCAACCTCAAGGCTGGTTGTGGTGGTGCGAGCTTATTATCTCAGTGACTAGGGGAGGCTGAGACAGCTCAAGACTGGTCTGGGCAACATGGTGAGTCCCTGTCTGAAAAACCAGGCATGGTGGTGTGTGCCTGTATCCCAGCTGGGAGACTGAGGCAGGAGGATTGCCACATGGCTAGACATTGTCTTAAAAACAAAAACAAACTTGGGAACCAGCAGTTAGCGTAATGACTATGTCGATGGAATCCTACGTAGTTGACCGCAGTTCGTGTCCCAGACCCGGTGGCTTAAAAAAAAACTCACGCCGGGCGCGTGTGCGTGCATGCCCAAGATCCCGAGAGGAGAATGGAGGAGAAGGGATTGCGGCGTGACCATCCCCTCTGGGGCGTGATTTCTCGCTTTCTGTCTCTATGTCTCTGTCTGTCTGGCGAGCGCAGGCGCCCTATAGCGAGAAAAAAAACAACAACAAAAAAAACTTGAGACCAGCAGATGGTGTCACGGCTACATCACTAGACTCCCATGTGGTCAACCATGGTTCAAGTCCTAGACTTGGCGGCTTAAAACTCACTCCAGGCATGTGTGCATGTGTGCCCAAAATCCCGAGAGGAGAATGGAGGAGAGGGGATTGCAGCATATCCATCTTCTCCCGGGGGTGATTTCTTGCTTTCTGTCTTTCTGGCTAGCACACATGCCGTACAGCAAAAAATCTCTAAAAAACAAACAAACTCAACTACAGATACATATAAAAATGTGTGGCCCCAGCTGCAGTGATGCAGGTAGTAGGGCATCGCTGCACAGTCCTGGAGCCATGTGGGAAGGCCGGAGCTCAGATCGCACGTTGATCTGAACTTGCCGTGTGCACCTGTCGGTGTATCCATGATCTTGGCTCAAAGACTGGGGTGGGGCAGGTAGAATCACTGCATTTCAAGAACCTGTCAGTGGGAACCAGCAGTTAGCGTAATGGCTATGTCGCTGGACTCCCACGTAGTCGACCGTGGTTCGTGTCCCGGACCCGGTGGCTTAAAACTCACGCCGGGCGCGTGTGCGTGCGTGCCCAAGATCCCGAGAGGAGAATGGAGGAGAAGGGATTGCGGCGTGACCATCCCCCTTGGGGGGTGATTTCTCGCTTTCTGTCTCTATGTCTCTCTCTGTCTGTCTGGCGAGCGCACGCGCCCTACAGTGAAAATCTCTCCAAAAAAAAAAAAAAAGAACCTGTCAGTGATCCCTGTCAGTGACCCTGTATATATGTGTCTATCTCTCAATAGCAGTTAGCATAATGGCTATGTCGCTGGACTCCCACGTAGTCAACTGCGGTTCACGTCCCGGACCCGGTGGCTTAAAACTCACACCGGGCGTGTGTGCGTGCGTGCCCAAGATCCCGAGAGGAGAAGGGATTGTGGTGTGACCATCCGCCCTGGGGGGTGATTTCTCGCTTTCTGTCTCTATGTCTCTCTCTGTCTGTCTGGCGAGCGCACGCGCCCTATAGCGAAAACCTCTCTAAAAAAAAAAAAAGTAAATAAACAAGTCTTAAATGCATAGGTCTCACAGATAGGGCATTGAGCAGAAGACACTGAGTGCTTGAGGATTCTATTTGCATAAATTTCAGAAACAGACAAAAGGAATCTGTGGTGTCAAAAAATTAGGAGATGACCAGACTGTAGGCTGTGTGTTAAGGGAATGATAAAGATCATTTGTAGATCAGATGTCCCACATGATTGGCCAAGGTTTGAATCCTGGGCCTATTGGCTTAAAAAACATACCAAGCAGGTATGCATGCACGCCCAGAATCTCTACAGGATAGAGAGACGGAGAAGAGATTGTGGTATGACTACACCCGTTAGGAGGTACTTTCTCCCCTTCCTCTCTGTCTCTCTGATGAGTATATGCATCCTCTGGCAAATTAAAAGAGAAATGTTAAGAGGGTGATTACTCTTGCTGAGAGTTGGGAGAAGTGTTTGGAATGGGATATGAAGGGGACTTCTGGGGTGCTAGTAATGTTCTGTCTCTTGGTTT